GCACGGGACGACAGCATGCTGGCAGCCTCATCAGAGCCACGGCTACCAAATGAGTCCCCGCACTGCCTACACTTAGCACCAGTGAACACCCAACGCACAGCACAGCACACACAAATACCTCTGGCACTAATCAACTGCTGAAAACCTCCGTGGTCATTTAAATGTACCTCTGGTCTCTCAGTCCACCGGATTAGACACTACTACTTGGGTGCTCCTCCAGACCACAGCCACTGACACGTACGGCACAACTCACTAGAGAGCATAATTTGCTTTATTTTGATCACATGCCTAATTCATAATTTTGCAGTATTTGGGCATGGGGGGGCTAGGCTAAACAGCTACTTGTCAGAAAACAGATTCAAATTCTTATTCAAACATCTAAGGACAAGACCCACTTGAATTCATCCTCCACCACAGAAATTTCACTTGGTGAGCTGCCCTGCATAAATCTGCACATAACACACTTTTCCAGCAGGCAATATTTTGTAAGTATGAAACTGTCATGATTACTTGAGCAGACATCACTGACAAAAGGAAATCTGTGCCTGAACTGTTGCTGCAGAAATATTTCAGGCAATATTTTTTCAAAGAGAATATAGATCTGGAAGGACACTGCCAAGGTTTTAAAGATCAAAATGTGTGACTCGCAGTGTTATAATTGGATGGGAACAGTCCTCCAGATCTGAAACATCGGGTTTGGTTTGGTTTTTAAATCTAGCACCACATTTGTAGGATTTCTGTAGGACCCATACATCCCGGCGCCTGTTTCCCCTACTCGGTAACAGTGAGCTCTGCTGACAGAGCCAATGACTCTGACAGGGCTAAACAAATCCCTTCTGACATGACAGAGCGTTGCACAGTCACACACTGCAGCTCACATGAAAAAACAACAGGCTGCTTCAAACTTTACTCTGCTGGAAATGCAGGGCTTGCTTTAAACCCCCATTTGCCAAATGAGGAGCAGACCAATTATCCATTCTCTCAAAGCAGAACTAGGGAAACAAAGGCAGTAGTCAGCCTTTGGCAGTATTTAAGGTAAAGTAAGTGGGAGGAACCGTGCTGTCTCCTCCCCAGGATGAGGAGTCATGCTCCCACAGGGCTCCCGCCCGGCTGCTGGAGCAGCAGTGTTGGCCAGGCTGCAGGTCCAGCCCGTGTCCTCCTGCGGCCACCCAGCACTCTCCCCACATCCCACCCTCTCCCTCCTGCCCTGACCACCCATGGGCCCCCTGCCCTATTTCAGGAGGGGATGGACAGCATGGAGGAGCCCCAACCTAGCCTTCCTCCCACTGGGATCATGTACCACTGTCATCCCAAAACCAGCCCAGGTCCATGGCTGGGACCACAACCGGGTCTAGCCGTGATGCTCTCAGCGACCTGACAGACACCTGACTCTCAGGACAATGGTCCACGAACCCTTCCTAATGTCACCCTGCAATGAGTGTCCGGCCATCGCAGCAGGACACCCAGCCGGGCAAAAACCTTCTGTGGTCAGCGTCACCTCAGACATGACATCGTGGCTTCCTCCGCCCTCCAGCGACCATCCCAGCTCACCCGGCAGGCAGTCAGCACCCCGCAGCTGTCCCAGGTTTCACCGCTGCAGAGACACCTGATGCCCCCCGTCCCCGCCAGCAGCATGGCCAGGACCTCCAGCACCCCTACGACAGAATTGCTTGCAATCTTCACCAGTGAGGAAGAAAAAAAAAAAAAAACAGGAGAGAAAGATGCTCACTGACTATTTTCAGTTCTGTGTAGCCCCTCAGCACCAAGATAAAAAAGTAGACATCATCAGGGGAGAATAAAATGTTGCAGGACTGAGAAAGCTTTGCTCTTTTAGCAGAAGTTTGGAAAGAGAAAAAAAAAAAAATCTGTTCTGGTTTTTTTTTTGAAGAAAACTCATTTTGGTTTGCATGGGTAAAGAGAAGATGAACTTTTTCACAGATTTAAAAAAGCTACTTTTCTTTTTAATATTCCTCCCCCCCCACAACACTTTATCAAGACCAGCTTCCAAAAGAAAAAAACTTGGAGTAAATCCTTTTAAAGAGGTCCAACAGTCAGTATTTGTTTCCAGAAGGGATAAATAAACCCAAGGATTTCCTACCAAACCTGGACAAAATACTACACCTATAAATTCCTAACAAGAGGCGGTTTCCTGATTTCACCTCCAGTTTAAAACATGGCCAAACCCAAAAACGCAGACTTTATTGAGAGGAGCTGTCATGAGGAGAAAGCCAACTAACTTCTCCAAGCAACCTGAGTAGTCCCTCAGGAAGGGAAGGCATGCGACAAAATACAACCAACCCACTGATTAACACCCTAAAAACTCAGCCAACAGGAAAAAGCCGCTTCCCCTTCTGCGACCCCTTCTGCCCTTCTCTTCTTCACCCTGCCCAGGGGCAAAGCCCATTACCTGGCCTGTCGGGGTGAGGCTCAGCCTCTGCTGAAGCACACCAGTTCATCAAAACAAAAGCAAAAAACGCCAGGAGCGAGCGTAACCGCGGCCCTCTGAGGCTCCTACGTCCCCGGCGCAGGTCCCCAGCCCGTGGTGTGGCAGACGAGCGAGGCCACGGTGCGACACCGGCCGTGCACTGCGATGGTGTCGCCTGTCTCTGGCCACGCAAAGTCCAGATCCAGCCACACAGATGTGGGAGGGTAAAACGACGTCGCCGATTTCAGGATGTCGCAAGGGCCGCTGCCACGGACAGATCTGTCAGCCTGTCGAAATTACAAAGGCGATGCTGCTCACTGAACTCGGGCTGGTCTTTTAAGACCTGGGACTCACGGCTGGGACTCATCTGCTGCAAGCACTCCCACCCAACGCTGCAGCAATGGAGAAAGCACAGCCTTCAAACACGCACAGGTAAGTGAATGAGAACATCTCCAGCAGAATTTCCAGCACACAAACATTTTTAAAGAGGAGTTCTTTTGATGCGGATGCCTTTTAGCCACAATACCAATACCTACATTTTTGCAGGCAAAATCTGCCCTGACTTGGCTATGAAGTTTCACAGGCACGTCAGGCCATCACCTTTGTGCTTTCAAGCCCAAGATTATCCTCTTGTGCCCTATTCCTGTGCTTAGTTTCCTGAGAAGGGTCCCAAGTGACTGGATGGTATCTTCCTCCTTCTCGGTTTTAGTTCACCTTGCAAATGACACTTACGCACAACAACGGAGACCACCGACTGGACATGGCTCCAAGGACACGCCTGGGGAACTGAGGAAACGGGTGCAAATTCACACCCATCTCAGACCACACCAAACCAGTCAGCTCTCGCTGCGGTGACTCCCATGCATGAACAGACCTGGGATCTCACTGCAGATGTGTGTCCCCCTGCTTTCAGAGCCATGGCTAGCTCGGTGCTTCCCTCAAGCAAGCATTTTCCTCTGCAGAAGACACTCTACGACCCAAGAAAGAGAGGTATTCTTTGAAAGCTGGAGTTATTTCAGGCTCCAAGCTATTAGGACTACCAACTAGTGGCATCCTAAAGCAGCTTTCTGCCCTGTCCGCTCCCAGAACGTATGGCACAACCAACACCTTGTAAAAATTTTGCTGAGGAATCCCGATTCATCTAACTGTAACTCACTGAGAAAGTCCTAATTAAAATATTTTTAAACAGACCACCACTAAAGTCTGCAGGCAAATACTTGATTTTATATGCATGTTTACAAATACCATAGCAGTCTCTATGCTTTATTTCTACTCAAAACCAACTAGGCATGGCCAAGCAATGCCGACATACATGCTTACTTTCAAAGCAGCGAGTAAATCCAACGGATTCATTCTCACCTCTAACCTGCATTTAGGGAGACACGACCATGAAGCATGTCAGCACGTGTGCAATCATTTTGGATTTGGGGTTCCAGATTCACAGATGTGCTAGCAAAGCACCTTAAAAATCAATTCCAGTCACTCCTTCTGCACATGGAAATCCCCACAGACAGCCGCGCTGACGCAGCTGCCCTACCTCAACTACCTCCCACACAGCAGCTTTAGGGACTGTGCACCGCAAGCTAACACAGTGCCCAGCACCCGCTGAAGGGCCTTGCTAGGCAGCTCTAAAGCATTTGATTGCCTGGGCCCACATCTTGCATTTACACAGCATTCCATGCCTAGAACTACACCAAATCTCTTTGCAAGCTTCATAGGTTTGACGTGTCTGTTGGTAAAGAGTACAACACTGCTGAGGTGCACCAGACTTTCAGTAACAAATCCCAATTCTTTAGCCTTGCCTAGCAATAACAGGCAAGTAAAACATAGTAACAGTGATTTGAAAACACAGAAGAAATTTGGCCAATACACATTCCAGATAACGTATGATCTCCCAAACACTTAAAATCAACATTTCTCTTCTGAATAAAAATATTCTAGAGTTGTGACTTCAATCTTCTGCAAAGAACAAGAAACATTAAAAAGCTCCTTTCTGTAGGAATATGTTTTTCTCCGGCCTTTCTTGACTGCCTCAGAAAGAACTGGGAGCAGTTCTTTCCTGCAGACACTGTAGTAACATATGCACCCAGAGTACAGGTAGCTATCAAATAAACTCCCCCCCGAAACTCTGCCAAATCAATACAGCATCAATCATTTTCTTCCATGGGAGAAAGGTGTGCCAGCCATGCCTCTTCCATTTTTGTCCTCAACCCATTCCTGTAAAGACATCACCACAAACCAGCTCTGACAAATGGTCCGCTTCCTGGAGGTCTGTCCCACCTGGCTACAGGATCTGGTTTTGAACACGAACAAAAATGTAGATTGAAAGGTCCTGTTGCCCTCTGGGCCTCCAGTTTGCCCATGTGTGTTTTAAACAGCTGTTTACCTTGGTTCCATCTGAACAGTTACACAAAATGAAATAAGGTTGAAATAGTCCAGGTAGCATGTGACAGACGAGTCAAGCACAATGGTCTCTTCCAAAGTGGTATAAACCTCTTCCTGACCTGGAGGAGAAAATAAATCAGACTGATCCCAAGCAACAGCTTGTCTGCAAAACAGGAGATGCTCCTATGCATCACTTGCATTGTTCATGATCTCTGTAGTCATCCATGTCCACATCCGAATCAAAGAGGGAGTGTCCAGTGTAATCTGTGTCAGGGGTTTGAGAAACACTATTCCCTTCCTCATCAAATGTTTCTGTCCTTGAATAAAAACTGAAGTCCTGCAAAGGGGAGTAAGTCTTGCTTGCTTCGCTGCTTTCCTCAGATTCATACAGAGTGTTATCATCATCATGGTGCCATTCTGGCCAAAATTTCCTCCTTATTCTTTCACAATACATAGCAAGGTTAATCAGTTCACCTGCAACACAGCACAACAGACTCCAGTAAATACATTCAGCCAATAATGCTCTAACTCACCTGCTGACGCAGAAAAATGTTAGCACTGTTGGAAACAAACTGTGCAGGTTCCTTCCAAAGCAGTTTCAGAATGCCAAGATCCCATCGATCCTCTTGGCTCTGTTTGTAACTTTCATATAACTTAAAACACACATTATTAACCTACACACAACACGAAGTGTTACACTGGAATGAATATAAATACATGCAGCTAAACAGTTATCCCAAATTCAACCTCTACAGAAATAAATCAAGACAAGATACTAATGCTGTAAGTTTTCACAATAAAATCCTTGCTTATTTTGCAGAAATTTGGTTCCTAAACACATAATTTGATCCTATACATACATAATACACTTCTTAAAACAGTGAATTTGGGTTTTCCACCACCAGATGGCAGCGTTGTCTGCATGATAAATTCACATTTTAAAGTTTTTATACGGTTACTGGCTCACCTCTAAAGTTCCTAGCTTCAGTACCTTATGCCTTATGTTTATACATACACATATGCTTAGAGAAGAAATTACAAAAAACTTCAAAGAAGTAACAGCATATTAAAGGGAATGTGTATGTGAAACCTGCACTCACAATAGCATGAGCAGGTGGATCGGTACAGAGAATCATCCATATCGCGCATCTATTGCCACCTATTTATTTTCATTAGAGACACATTAGTTTACCAAACATAGTATTCCCTCTTGAAAGCCATGGACCATTCAGAGTTTTGTTCAGGATTCCCCAGACATCAAGGGGAAGAACTGTATAGACAACACTTATGTCCTCATCCCAAGTATTTTTTTCCCCCTCAAGGTTTTAATAATGAGCAACTCTGCCTCGTAACTGTTACTTCAGTAGCTCCCTCTTGCACAGAGTAGATCTACAGGTCAGATTCATTCCTTTTGCATCCATTAGCTCTCACATCTTTGTCCTCCTTAGCTCTTCCCACTTTCCATACTGCGTGATTTTATTCTGAAAAGGGACACAAAAATAATTTCACAAGCCTATACCACCCCACAAGAAAAAAAGTGTGTGGAGGGGAGCGGTATGTTGGTTTCCTACTAATGCAAAAACACAGTGACTCCAAAGTCAGTCTCGACTTTTTCCCTTCCCAGCACCTTCAGTAACAGCAAAGGCTCTAATCTCAGCAGGACAATAGCACTTGCAGTTCTACCCTCTATGAAACCACTCAGTTCAGCAGAATTTGTCTCATGGCCATGCTTCTGTCTTCTCATACCTTACCAAGCATTCGCTCCTTAGAGGCATTCAGTCTTTGCTATGTTAAACAGGGAAAAGATCAAGTACAGGAATAGAAACAACCACCACATAGAACACTAAAGAGAAAACAAACAAGAAGTTTAAGAGAAAACAGCATTACAGGATACAAACGCTACATCAAAGGCAAGAACAGCCTGCAACACAGCTGAACTGCTGCTGCAGTCTTCAAATATCCTTACAAGGTGCTCCAAGTTTAAACATGGCAAATGCCACGAAGAATTTTTCACTTAAGCTTTCTTACCTTTGATTAGTCTTTCTGGTCGAGTCCCTGGTAGCGTCCACATTGCCTGTGCCAGATGCCCAAAGACAGTGGCATCAACAGTGGAAACTGTTGGTCCCATAATGTACTTCTTGTCACCTGTAAATACAACCACAAACGTTTATCAACTAGATGTCACTTCTCCCCAATTAAAAAAAAAATTTAGATGTTTCCCTGGTTACAGCTTTAGCTTTTTTTTTTTTTCCTACTGAAACCACTTAGCTGAAAAGGTTCACTGGTTCAAAGACCGGGATTCAATGTTGAATATGGTTTAATGAATATGGTTTAAAAGCTGTTGCTAGGGTTGAGCAGGTGACCTCCATCACTGCAGCTTCCCCTGTGCTCACCACTTCTGTAACTAGGCTGATTACAGAGCCACCACTGGCGAAGTAACCTCCTCTGCGCATCACAGCTGGCAGCATATACACACTGCACTAGTTCTGCTGCTTTTAAAATCTTCTCTGCAGTCAGCAGGTGCCTGAAAGCACCATTTTCTCCTTTGGTGAAAACCCAAAATCATTTAACTGTAGTTCAAAATCACGACTGCACTTGCTGAAAAAAGCTGGTCACCCCATATCTCTCATGTGCGCAGATACAGTTTCAGGTTGCCCATCTGATCACACGAAAAAAGAAAGCCGTACCCAAAGCTTTCTTCTCCCATCATTTGTTCAGGCTGAAACGGATGCACCAGTCAGACCAGCAGCGACTGCTCAGAAATGAGCTGCGCCTCCAGCAGAAGGACACAGCGGCAGACAGAAGCGATCCGCTCCTCTCACACACCACCACCCCAAACACTGGTCTCTGTCTGGCAGGGACCGAACAGAGGCACACCAGGCACCCAGGCAGGCAAGCAAAACAGCAGCTGCTTGGGACTGGCCTGGGTCAGAAGGGGGACGTGTCTGCTCCACACCGCTATTCTGCTTACTTCTCTGGGCACCCCAATGCCACGATGGTCCTAAGTGGCCACCACAGCACACACAGATGGATAACTACCTAAAACAGCGAAGAAAAATCACATTTCAAAGCCAGCACTTGCAAAGAAACATCCAGTATAAACTCGTTTCCTTGTCACAGGCACAAAGCCTGGAGCAAAGACCGCACACAGGGCACGCAGGTGAGCCATGGGGTATTGCATTAAGTGGCTGCACTGTCCCTGCCTTGGCACAAAGTGCTATCAGCTCTGTGAAATGTGGTACGTAATTGAATTCTCCAAACCCAGTTATCCCATCTCCCCAGGACTTTTTTCCCTGGCCCAATATAAGCTGTCTGAAATTCAGCAGGTTATTAAATGTTAGGGTTATTGAGTAAGTATAGAAAAACTGTCCAGCAGTAAAACTCATCAAATTCCAGAATACAGTACAACAAATGCTGCTGTCCCCTGTACTACAGCGTAGCAAAGCAGTGCTCAGGAATGATCAGTAACAATAACCTCCTCCAGCCTGTCAGATGTAATTTTAACAGAGTTAACTCTCCCCAGCTCTTTCATAGTTGTATCAACCTCCTGTTTGAAAACTACATACAGGGTAAATGTTGTCTTTTCAGTATTTATGTGACGCCTAGCATTCACTGATCTCAAACACAGCTCAAAAATTGGTCCCCAAACCGCAGTTTTATGTAAACACTAGGAATTTAGCACCATACAACCGCATCTGAGACTCCATCCATAGCGATGTTGTGCTAGGAAGCAACACTGCCGTTTCCATCTTGCTACAACCAAGGCAGGCAGTGAGTGAGGGCTGAACCACCCCACTCTTTTGCAAGCAGAATGGCTCCCCAGGCACAACATCTGCACCTTCAAGTACACAGAAACAAAGGGGAAGAGGAGGAAACAGAGCTGTGCTTCCATAAAACCGTAAATCTGGTTTTAGGTCACACTCCACCGCCTAACAAAAGCCTCTACTCACATTTCCTTCTACCCGTTCCAATCCGTTCCCAAAACTTCCAGTGCAACATTTTTTCCAGATGACTTTCCGACAGACCAGGTATCATCTCTCAGTCTCTAGTTTTATGCCAGATTACACAGCGCCTGTCACATCAAGGCTGTCATAGTGCTAATTACCTCAAACACCTCGCTACATCCCTGGGCTAATCCAACAGAAACGCAACCACCTGGTCACACTGGACTTGGATCAAATTTGTACTGCCCAGGGACCTGAGAGTACACAGCTCCACTACTTATGAGCGCATGTGCCAGACGATTAAAAAGCAGCTACTTCAGCACTGGGTCAAGAAACCCCAGCAAGAGACAGATCTATGGGAGACCTGCACCCTTCCACAGCAGCACGCACAGCAGGCTGCTGCAGGGCATTTCAATTAGCATCAGAGGCTCACGTTCAGGTTAGTCCCGTCTCTGTGTTCCAGATCTGAGCACCCCTGCTCTCCACAAAACATCAAATGCTTTTCAAAAGCCGGTTCAGGCAGCTGCTGCCCTGCAACTCCCTGCTCGGAATCCCCATGTACCCAAAAGGCTGAGGCAGGCAGACAGCTCAGAGGGCACCAACAGATTTATGGGCACTGCTCACTCACTTGCATCTTTCAAATAATTGCCAAGATGTGTATTTTTATATATTGCTAGTTCATAGACCCAGTTCTCCCCACTTCCTTACACTACTACCAGGCAGCAGGAAACTACTACAACACAAGGAAGTTACATTTCCGGTTTAAAGACTGCAGGACAGAGAGCAAGATGATACCAACGGGGCAAGCTGATCCATCACAGGAGGATTAGTTCAAATCTCCACGTTTATATGAGATCTGGAGAAGTCTGTTAGGGAAACAGGTGCATGGGAGAAGAAAAAATTACTCTTAGAAATGAAATAGAAAAAAAGCACAAAGATGCTTGCAAGATGGGAATGTCAAAATGAGCATCACAAGACTTGGCAGCTGCCAAGTTATCACTCTCTGGAAGCAGCTCTTGGAATTTAAAAGTTATTCTTGTTCCCGTGTGAATGCTCTCTGTTAGAAAATGGGGAGTATTAAATTAATCTGATATGCCTGATGACTGACAGCTACAGTTTGGTACATGCAGCTATTCTGCATGATAGGCATCTTTTTTAAGCCCTTATGATTGCCCTCTAATTAACAGCCAAAAGCCCAACTGCTTCCTCTTCTGGGAAAACACATAGGCACATATACGTGGAGGGGAATCTCACAAAGGTTTTTGTGCAGGCAACAGGCTGACTGACCACCTTCTCCTTCCCCCTGTGAAACAGGAGAGTCTCCAGTCAGGCTGGAAGTCCTCGTCCCACCTCCTGTCCAAGGATACCACCTGGAGGCCACAGTTACTAGACTCAACCATAAACAGCTGGCTGGAGAAAACATGAGCATGTTTGTGTTCATGAAAAACCAAGGCAATTATAGAAAAGTAGACAAATGCATCAATAATCAAAAGGGCAAACATAATGACTTACATAACTGTACATTGACTAATGTGACATCCGTTTCAGAGGGGAAGATAAAAAAAATGTACAAAATTCATTTGGTAATGTGGTAAAATAACAGGAATATGACATATGCTCATCAAGGCTTTCTCAAGTACACAAGGCACAACAATCTCGTCAATAATCTGCAAGTAAAAATATAAAACCCCTGCTGATAACATATGTATCACATAACTAAAAAAACTGATATAGTGAAGAAAACACCTTATCCTTGAGGATTTTTCCCACCAAAACCTAAAGGAAGAGACTGTGTAACCATAGCATTTACCCTCACAAGACGACCCAGGCCACTCTGGATGGAGGAAGAAGACTCCAATTTGACATAGGTCACATTTTGACAGTGACTAACATCTGCTACCAATTACTAATGCAAGTGGTGGCACCTCCACCTGCTGAGATCTCATACATAAAGCTGGATGTCTTTTAGAAAGTTTCTGCGTTCTGCTGGGCTCTCCTCAACTTGCTCCCTCCATCCACTCCATACTTGCCTATTTAGAGCATGTGCAATATGTCCTCCTTCCGGAGGGCAGGGCAGGGCAGCACCCCTCCTGCCCTCCACTCAGCCACCTCTTTAAAGCAATCACAACAGGGAACAAAGCAGCCACACAGGTACCATCTCTCTTGGTTCCTTGCACAAGAGACACAAACTCAAGGGAATGACAATTTGCCCAAACCGTTCCTCAAAATGCAAATTTTACACAGAAGCACAGTATCATTAGCTCTCAGCAGACCGCAAGGTGATAAGCAGAGTGTAGGCAGCTCCGGTGCCAATTTCAGCCTGAACTACACAGCAGAAATGAGGCTCATATGGTTCTAGCTAAGTGAGGTCAACCTTAAGACTATCCTTATGGGATCCATCCACAACAAGCAAGAAGCCTAAACCCACCTATTTTGACAACACAGACCCATCTCCTACTAGCAGCTTTGAATAAAGCTGCTAACACCAACCAAATACAATAAAGTCCAGTTCATCAAAATAACATCTGCAAAGGGTTTTCAAGTGGCAGCCTCTTAACAATCTATCAAACAGCCATGAGTCCTGTGAAGAAACAATGACACACCTCCCCCCCAAAAAAAGTAAGAGGTTTCGTTTGCAGAACTAGACACTACGCTTTCCTAAATTCACATAGCAAAATGCTCTTCCAAAAATCACAGGCCACTTTCTGCTCCTCTAGATACACACACCCAATGCTCAGAGAAGAGCACCCCTCTAGAGACACAATTTGGTAGCAAATAGCAGGGAAAGCAACAGTGTCCCTGTCAGAGCAAGGGCAACACTGAATGACAGCAGCAGTACGGACTCTACCCATAGACAAAATGAGATTATTTGTGTACACGATCAAGCTGCCGGGAAGTGCTCACAGTCGATGTCATCCTGTAGACAGTGGGCTGTGAACGAACCGAGCGCGCGTAACTCGCTGTACGTTACCCAGAAGGCCTGCTAGAGTCCGCATGTCCTTCTCCATCAGCGTGTACATCTCCTCCTCTGAGAAGCGGCCAATGCCGTGGCCGTACATTTCACGCTTCACGATCCCTTTGGTCAGATGGCAGAAGATCCACTTCAACAAGTCACTGAACGGGCCAAAAAGTGAAACCATCTTTCGTGTCTCGTGAAGATTTTCCACCCATTGGCAGTAAGCTAAAGTCCTAGAAGGATGCAAAGTAAGTCATAGCAGTGCAATACCCAGACAGTCCACCACCACCCTGCAAAGGCTCACACAAAGGTTAGGCGTGAGCTTTCTTAACACTGAGTACTCACTGGCCTGATGGAGAGGTAGTTTCCAGTGAACAGTAGACCCTGATGCAATGCAGACCGACAGCAGAGAAAACTGACTTTGTAATACTTACGCAGACTGCCCAGTGCTTATTCTCTCAGTAAATCATGACTCGCTTCAAGAGAAAATAAGATTCACACTGAAATATAAAATAAAAGCTGCAGAATTGTCTTAAACTCAAGTAACAAAATGCAGTGCCAAAAGGACTTATTAGCGAAAGATGACTGACTGCACAGACCTGGAGAAAAACACCACCATCACAGCCCACAAAGAAACTAATCTTTCCCACCAACCTGTTGTCCTTGCTTTCTACACTGCTGAAACTTAGCCAAGCAGCAACTTTGCCCCAAAATAAATACTGTGGCGGTCATTTTTCAGAAGATCTCTGCTCTCCTCAGAAACTAACAATGCCACAATATTTTAAAAATAAAATTAAAAGATGAAGGGGTGGTGGTTATTGGGTTAGTTTTCTCCTGTATTTCTTCCTGTTTTCAAAATGTTGATTTTATGAGAGAGACATTCCAAAGGACTCTGCTGTATTTCAGGCTGTACTTCAACTTTATTGAAAGGCAAATATATTATTTTCAAAGGTCTTTTGACAAAAAATTGTCTTACCAACTGAAATTTTTGTTCCCTACATGAATTATTGTTCTTTAGTAATATTGTGGGCAAATAAAAAATTGATTTGCTGCTGTCACTACTCAAGAAACTTGTGAAAAAAGAAGCATTACCTTTTTTAATATCTAGCATCTTCTGACACTATAAAAAAATAAAACCAAAAAAGACCACATGACTTTTGTCACCAAGTTCACAGGATATTGGAAAATGGGCTAAAGATATCTCAAAGTATACATGAGAAACATATGAAGCCAACAGGGTCTCAGAAACACTGGGAGTTGATACTCATATTCCATTGTGTTGTAGCAATTTCCAAACTGAAAAATCTAAAAGTGGATTTACATATTTGAGATTGTATGAAAACAGGCTCATGGAGACATGATGAACTATTGAAGCTAGAAAGCTGCAAGTTCATGTATGCAATTATATTAACTATTCATTTAATAATCCAATGTTTCCATTTCCAGTAAGATCAGAGCTCAGTTTTTTTAGTTTGGAAACTCTGACTTCAGTATTATTGTTGTACATATTTCTAATTGCATATAATTTCCTTACTGCTGATATGGATTGCCTAATTCAAGGGAAAAAAAAAAAAACTCAACACACAAAGCAGTATCTCCTGGAGAACTCCTGTGAGGTTTTTTTTTTAAATGTATGTTTTATCAAACTCCGATATGTCATGACAGAAGTTGAATTCAGCAGTACTACCAGGGAACAGCTATGTTTACACCATGCAAATGTTCTAAACTTTAAGGTTCCACAAAGTCTTTACTTGAATTTCTAATAACATGAGGTAAAAGGAAAATATTTGGCATAACAGCTGAAAAAAAAAAAAAAAATCCACTTACAGCTCAAATTTAGAATGCTCCCAACAGAGCAGGTGATAGGCATTTTAATTCTATCAAAAATTGTCCTCTGCAGGACAGTGCCTTCTGCTCAAAATTGCTTTCATTAAAGTCAGTAAGAGTGAAGCATGTGTAGGTTTTGCTGCAAATGCATGAACAATGAAGAACAAAAATGCACCTGCTATTTTTCTGATGGCTTTTCTCCTCAATAGGTTTCTCCACAACCTCTTGCACTGTATTAATATGACAAAAGCATCCTGCTGACCTTTCACACGCTTCAGTACCACTCTTCGAACGGGGGTGTTCTGCACAATCCTTGTTTTTCAAAATGGACGGATCAACTCAAGTCATTGGACTGATTTCAGCACAGCGGAGTTTGAAACAAAGCCAGATTTAATGCGAGGCACCAGCACAAAAGGGCGAATGTAAAGCCAGCAAGCACCAGAGTAAACAGCTACTGAAACTCCAGAAGTATTAACTCTGGCTAGAAGATGTGGTGCGAGACTGCCTTGCTCCAGGAACAAAGGCACAACAGGATCTAAGGACAGAAAGATGACTGGGCTGAAAGTATAAAGGTGCTCCATAGAGCAGAACGTTTCAGTAGTCATGTTTCACGAGCCTGGGAAAGAACAATTTCCCTTGGACATGTACAGCTCTGAATAGGAAGAAAAAGTTCGGTCTTGATGTGAACATTGGGAAATAATTGCAAATACTATCTCTAGCTGTAAGAAAAACCTGCTCTCCGCGAGCACTGCCATGTGTCTCGTTGCAAAGATCCTCATTCCCCAGCATGGACCTGATCAGCTTTGCCCATCAACTCCGCAACACAACCCACAGAGAGGGTCAACAAGAAAAAGAAGCCAGAACAAAACAGAAGAAGAAGAGAGCAGGCTCTGCTGCAACATTTTGTAATGGTCACCCCAGCTGCACAAGACTAACTTGGTCCTATGGACTTTCCATCGTTACTGTTCACTCCAATCACACTAGCAAGCTGGCACTGCACCAAGAACAATCAACCACGTCCAGGATGGCTTGAAATTCATGAGACAGGATGAACAAGGCTTCCCACAAAGATAATTAGGCTATACTTCAATGGAAAAATACATTCTCCTAGCACTCACTTGCGCTGCGGGAGAAGGTCTTTGGGTCTGGAAGCGGCAGAGATCAGATGAAGCATGTAACAATCAAGACAGCAACGCAGTAAGAACACAACTGCACAGTATTTAGGTAACCCTGCTTAGGCTAAACTGTCACGCACAATCTTAAGACATCTTCTTGTCACTTTGAATAAGTAAAGTTGGCACATGTCCCAAATCTCAAACTTACATGGGCAATGAAGGCAGCTAAACAGCCAACCAGAGTTTACTCCTAAAATTTTATGGGTCTGAGCACAAAAAAGCAAAGAAAAAAGCAGGCTCAGATTCAGAGACAGCTAAAAGCACTTCTTAAACTGGCTTTACAAACATTTTGTTAAAATAATTCTATTCAAAGGTTCATTAATCTGTGCTTCCTATGAAAACATGCTCCTCTGCATTTAACCCCACCCATCATCCCTCTGCTCAGACTACAACACTTGAGTATTCTCAACATTACAAAAAGTTAGGAAATGCCAGATATCGGTTAGTCTACATAAACTACTTCAGCGTAACTACACATTTTAAACTACAGTTAGTATTTACAGGATGACATAATTATTTTAAAATATTAGCCTGAACTGAGCATTCTGGGAAACATTAACATTCCTATTTGTGCCAGCACATCTGTACAAATCTTAGAGTATAAATTAAACAATAACACGTTAAAGAGCAATGCTGCGGGGGTGAAGCAAATCTGAAGTCTAAATGTAACAGCAGCTTTGGCCTCAATACATAAATCAGGAGAGGAGATGGAGAAAGTGACTCATCAACAGCGTCTTGCCAGATTATCCCCAAACTGTCTGAACATCAAGGCAAGGGGGAGGTGTTCACAAGGATGTGAACTGGGGGTTATTTTTCCTATCTGAATCTGTGCAGAGTGGAATTTCTTGATAGACAAAAGGGTTATAATGGATTCATTCCACAATCAGCTGTGGAAACCCCACCTGCTGTGCGCCATCCCAGAGCCGCTGGCTTTTAAGCTGCCAGCAGCATTCAAGCCTCATCATTGTTAATAGCAGGAGAGACATCGCTCTTATAATTGGCTTAATGTATTTAAACATTTTTATATTATAAACATAGTTTATGTTTAATACATGGCAAGTCTGAATACCGACCAAAGTCAGATTCATTTGTATTCTCATACCATGCTTTTCCTGTACTTCAAGCACTCATCACATGTGATGTTTACACGGTCTTTTGGAAAAACAAAGCAAGAAATGAGTTAAATATGTGTGTGTATATACATAAACACACACACTTCTAAATCACTAAGGCTGTGTTTGACAATACAGCTAAACCAATCTAGCGGGTTAGTTTGGTTAAGCTGCATATTCCAGGCTTTAGGTTCTCACTAAGCACATTACTGTCACCGACCTGAGATCCCTCTCTTGAGATTACAGTGCCAGAAAGCACCTCACAGCAGCTGCTAGCCCTGCAGGCACCGGGAGCTGCCTGGTTTGAATGTGGGCAGTGCCACTGAGCCCAGCACACCAGCACCAGAAGGACGTGAGAACCTGGCATCCTCCAGCCCGTCTTCTGCAAAGGTCAGATCCCAGAAACATGCTGCAGATACACCAAAAACTGAACATGTCCTGAAGATGGCTGTGGGTGCTCTGCTGGCTTCTGAGGGCCCATGGGTCCCTGCAGGCAGTGGAGATGACCCAGTGCAAGCCTTCTACAGATGACAGAGGTCTGCACCGGATCCAGGACCTGGGGCAAGAGTCAACAAACACACCTCTTCCCTGCTGACTTGGCCCAAGATCCATTCAGGTGAGCAGGCTTTTTTTCTTTTGCAATTTAAACATAGCAAAAGACTAATAGTTACGGCATTCTCCAGGGACAGGAGTTTAAGCGCCAGCTCCAGATCAGTCTCGTGCATCTCGGAGATACGCTCTAATCCCAACACAAAAATAGGTACGCTCACTCACTTTGCTGCCTTTCTGCTCAACCCCTGCCAGGCACCAGAGCCTGGGGCAGAGGCAGGGTGTCTAGAGGCTGAGGTTCACAACAGCCCCGCACTGCTCTCAACTCCAGCTGGAGCAGCAATTTCCACCTGGAAGAGGCTCTAATTGGTGAAGATGAGCAATTACCTCAGCAAAAGCAAAAACATTTCAGGAGGAGATGCTGAGCATCCACCAGGATTAGCTCCATCCAGGGACAGCACACCACAGGATGTACTTTGCTTCTTTGTTCGGTAAATGTACTACAATTTTACTTATTTATCATGAAGCTACTTTGCATGCTGCTGGCAATAAAATGGTATGCATCACTTTTACATTACTGCTTTAGAGGCTTGACTTTATAAACCTTATTCTGCAGAAAGGCGATCACTGTTACAAATTCCTCACTGTGGGACTTGAGGACACCATGAACAGACCTTGAACTTCTGGTGGGAAGTGGGCAGGTTCAAGGACCAATGTGAAGGAATCCCACAACCACAGACGCAATGCTGTCAGGGAGAAATGCGGCCCCATACAGCTAAAACCCGATTTTATTTTGGCGTAACCACAGGATGGTGAAGGTTGTTACCTGGAAATTACGGCGGTACAACTGTGACACCTCATAGCTCAGGCTTTGGCTAGTACAGAGAACCGGCATGGTGTGACCTCACCAACACCGCAAGCCACTGCTACAGCCACACAGCAGGGACATACAGTAAGACTCACAGTTGGATGGTTTACCACACTGCAGCAAAAAAACCTGCCTTAGGGAAACTGAACTGTGTGCCTAAACAGGAAAGGGAACATGGGTACACAACCAGGCATGCACATCTCTATTCTTGCATGGTCTAGCTTTATCCACCCATTTCAACGCCACCTCCCTGGGTCAGTGCCTGAATTTGCAATACCAGACTCCCATGCTCCCCTATGTCGTGCCCAGCAGTGCTGAGTCAGCTCAGAGGCAGCCTGGATGGACAAAAAGCTTCACACACAAAAGCACAATTTGTAATCGAGACACAACAGTGGTATAATTTTGTCATCAGTAATGTCACATTTAAAGCAGTTAAGTCTACGGACGATGAAACAACCAACACTAAGGCAAGGAGATGGAGCATCAGGGGATTAAAAGGCCTCACCTTCCCTTTGGCAGCTACAATAATTGAGGGAGAAAAACGAACAAAAAAAAAAAGTTGCATTTGCAGGTTACTTGAGATTGAGGCTATGGCACTGCAGACGAGTATAACTGGCGAAGGTCACGCTTCTTGGAAGGCAGGGATTACATTTCTAAACCATATAATTTAAATCTGCCTACGGAATGCTCAAATTGTTCCCAGGAAGCACTAAAAATTATTTTAAGAACTGTATGTACACATGTTGCGGCTCATCTTTGATCACCAGGTGAAAGAAAAAGCAGGTAAACACACTCAATTTAAATCACATACTGTTTTGCACAAAAAGTGCAATATGAATGCAAGACTTGGTACAGCAAGGACTTCAAACGCATGCTAGAAAGCAAACTACTGGGAAAAAGCTCTGTGCCTGCTGAGGCATCCAATGCAGCATCCAAGATGCCATGTCCACCTGCTACTTCTGTGAATCCAGACCGGAAAGGGCACTTAAAAAGGACTCAAATGTAAAGGCAGGGGGAAATCACAGGTATTATTTCCAAAGGTGTCAGTAAAATGCACAAAGTACCAGCAAGGCTATACTTATGTTTTCCGTTCATGTACATACTTCAGCTTCTCAGGATACTGTGACTCATACTGTATCCCATCAAGTGGCAGTGTTGCCAACAATACATATTAACAGGAGTATCCTATGTTACAGGAAAGGCAATAATCCATATTGTGATCACACACACAGATAGCTAAAACCAGCAACTGAAAGAACACAACATTCCGGATCTAATGCAGATGCTGGGTTTGTTCCCCTGTGCCCCTCAAACCACGAAGGTATTCAGCCATCTTGATTTCTTGCTCTTAATATTAATAAGGCTGCTTCTACTCGGCGGAACCAGGACAGAGGAACAGTCCACCACTGCTCCCTTCTGCAATGCTGCAGGCGAAGGGCCTGACTCCTTACCTTGCTTACACAGTATCACAATTTTTCAGGGGAATTACCTCCAGCTCATACTAGCACACGCAGAAAGCAGCAGCAGTTTTCTAGGATAAAGAGGCTTGTGAAATTAGTAATTGGGAAATAATTTTCTGCCAGAGAAAATAAGCATTCACATCCAGGCACGAGAACAGAGACAGATCTGACGGCACAAGAACGCAGCCAGCTTTGCCATGCAAGCTTACCAGTACAAGTGCTCCTCCACCATTTTTGTCACGGCTCTGGAAACAGCTCTTTCCTGCGGACCGAGGTGTTTATTCAAATTCACTCCAAGTTTCTCTTCCAAGAAGTCAATAATGAACTCAGTGCCAGACACTTTCTTGTGATTGTATTCAATCCAAGGCATTTTCCCTTGAGGGGAAAGTTTTCCATCAAAATAGTTCTAAGGAAAAAAAATACCAAACAAGTAAACAAACAAACATACATATAAAAATGGCCCTTCAGGTTCTGTTTCAATGAGAATAAAGCTTTTAAAGTATTTTCTGTGGTTTTAAAGGCAACACTGTCCAGAAAATTTTTTAGATTAACACTCTAGACTAGTGGTAGCCATTCAAACAGACGAACAGCTTTACCCTATATGACAATTCAGATTAAATTATTTCCAGGTCCTGCCAGGTGTTACATGCTTTTATGTCAGCTGCCATGTGATGTAATGTTATTTAAGTACCTGAGTTTATTTAAAGGTTGGAGATGCTGAGAACTCCCAGAGGACTGGGTCTGTTATTGTAAACAAGTTTTTAATCACAGGACTCTCAACTAAATTTGGTTCTTGCACAGACCAGCTCTTCTCATGTTAAAAAAGTACTTTATAAAGATGAATTCACTACCTCCAAGGATAAAACACACACAATCACAAGCGTATAATGAAAGGCCTATCATTCCCTGACTGAGCAGGAGGGAAATCTGCCTTTACATATGTTTCTGCAACCTTGTAACTTAGAAATCTCATACATTTACAGACACATTTGTTACAATTGGGTGTCCAAGAGCCCAGCACCAGTACAGCACCAGTGATAGCTGTATGCTGGTGTACCTGCTCAGCATAGCACTCGCGCAGTAGCAGCAATGTATTTTCCCCATTTTACAGCTGGAGACAGTGAAACAGAGATTAGAGAATTTATGCCTCAAATGACAAACACGAGAGAAATTGCTAGCTTTCAAAACATGATCAGACATTTGACTTCAATTCTTTCTCACTCCTGAACACAGAGACACAAGGCAGGACGTTCTTCCTTTCCTGTGATTCCCATCCTCTCGTCCTGTTATTTAATGAATGAAAAATCCAAGCTCAGAAAGCCGACCCATAAAGGCTCACAATAAAGGCTCTGCACTCAGTCTCTGGCAGTCACCCTAAGCATTTCGGGATCTAGCTCCTAACTGCTGGAGGTTTAGGGTTAGCAGCTCTGGACTGACCTGTTTGGGTCGCAAGTAATTACCCTTCCTGAATCCACTACAGATGGATTAACATCCTCTCGCAGCAAGGAGCGTACACCAGAACACGCCTCCTGCTAGGTCTGAGAGCACAGCATCCTGGTTGTCCCTCAGAACGTGGATGCGCAAATGCGCCGCCATTCCCGGATGCTGTTTCCTTAAGGACGGAAGCAGACGAAACAGGTAATGCTACTAGGAAAACAACGCCTTCTGGCTGTAGCCTTTTCTGCGATTTCTGCCCAAACAAGTAGCACGGTAGGGACACTGGATTATATAATGGCTCATCTACTGCATCCCTGCGTGGGTGCATAAATCAGATGAACCCACCCAGCCTGAAGGTGTGGGCGACATCGGGCTTGTTGCTCTGGTCCAGGAGAGAAACTCTAAAGCTGCTGAACATTTGAAACTGAAAGCAAATCACTTTCCTTCATCAAAAAGGCTTTTTCAGCACTCAGACTGACTGATAGGTTTCCATAATCTTTCATTACGAATTTAACACACAATTATAAGGTTCTTCTAGAACTACATAGTGTAGTATTGCTGGCTTAATCTGTGTTAAACCCTTTCAGCATGAGATTTCCTTTCTTGTGCACAAACACTGATGTTCTGCAGAAGGTACTAGACTTGCAGATGTGTTTATTACATATTGCAATTACTGTAGGCCATATCATTCGCAACCCCCAAAAAAAGCAAGTTTGCACATATATATAATACAAATAAATACATTACATAAAAACCTGTTAGTACTGCATTAATCTTATCCTCTCAAAAACACAGATGAGAGCTAAAGTTCTTGTACGAAAGTTGGCTTACCTAAACTTAAAAAAGTCTTCTCAGTATTTTCATGTTTCATCACATGCAGTTTATCAAACAAAATGGTAAACATCTTCCAATGACCTCAGCAAACCTTCATCTCTTGACAAATCTGTTAAACTGTTCTTGCCTCCATTGTTCTCAAATGGGTATTTTTAGGCTGGAAACCTCAGTATCGTTATGGCTGCTACTAACTGCCATCAAATATTTATCAATTTTCCACTTAAAAACTGTTTCAGCTGCAAAGCAGGGAAAAGCCATGGTATTATAATTAAAAAAAACAAAAACAACCAAACAAAATATCCCCTCATAGTACATTTAACTGAACTGCAGCCTGCAAAGCAACAATTAACAAGAGGTCCCCAGAACCTCATTTATGGAGGAATTTATAAACAGAATGGCACAGGGCACTTCCAGGCTAACTGTAGAGTAGTATCCAGGAGATTAGTGCTGCTTATGCTTTTACTTTTACTCATGTGTCTTCCCAAGGAGGCTACCATCTTCACATACTTGGCATGAAAACAGCACTTTTCTGCTCTGCTAATACTTATCAGATTACATAAATGCTCAGCGCTTAACATTCACAAGGGAATCAAGGAAAACCAGAAGATCTCCACAAGCACCCAAAAGGGGCTCCTTCACAACAAGCTTTACCAAGAAAAGCATCAAACATGTTGAAAAAAACAGGGAGGTAATATGACAACCCAGCCGGGGTGGGGCTGGCAGAATTATTTTTGATGGAGAACTGGCATCTAGAAAGGCAGCCTCAAGAAAACGTAAGCACATCACAACAGCACATCTGTTGGGAGAAATTCAGATGATAATAAGGTAGAAATGTGTCACCCAGTTCCATTTCTCACTTGCCATTACAGCATGTTGTGTAACACACAGCACGTTATTCAATAGTCTGACGTGCTATGATAAAGTACAAACACAAGGAATGGAAAGGGTAAAAGCAGTCTGACCACCCTGCTGCCTTTTCTTCACCCCAGTTCTCCACCCTCGCTTTGAAGCGTCCCCTCCCCGGGAAGGTGATGGCCGCACCAAGTCTCCAGAGCTGAGCCCTGGCACCAGCTGCCCCTGGCATGCCATCGCTCCTCCATCACGGCCCCCGCCAGCGCACAGGGAAGCGAGGCGTTTCCTCCAGTGTCCGGCCATACCCGCCTACACCGCCACCCCGCCGCCCAGCCACGAGGGAAGAAAATAAAAGTCTCCAGGTAGCCCAAGTACAGGCAACTTCCTAATCGCAGCTGAGCAGGGAGCTGCCTGCTGGCCCGCTACCTCCTGTTCCCCCCCGGCTCCATCCCACGGCGGCATCTGCACCTTCCTCAGCCTGCTGGAGCCGAACACAGCACCGTACTCCCAACGCAAGGACAGAAACAGAGTCTGCCTCTTCTCGAAAAAAAGCTGCATCCCAAGCTCGTAAGCTTAGCTCCACCAAACTTACCTCTAAAACCCTACACAGGGTTGGTAACCCCACAAGCACCTCAAGCCTGTTATCAGCCTGCACAGCTAAAAGCGGCGACCTGGTGTTACCAGCACCTGCGGGACCCACTCCCGCTCCTGCAGCGTGGCACATGGAACATGCGCGGAACCAAGCTGGGTGAAAACCAAATAAACTAAACCTTCCTGGCTCCAGCTAGGCCAGCTCTGGCCCAGCCTGACCTGGCACAGAAAAGCATGCGCAGGAAGGGTCAAGAGGGAGCCACTGAAGGTAGGGCAGTTGCTTTTGGTGGTCCTGCTGACCTACGCCAGCTTAGCGTGCTCACAGCTAGTGAGTAGGGATAGAGAGAGACGCAACACCAAAGAGCAATGCTGACCTTCAGTACAGAAAATAATGAGGGGATGATAACCCTCTGTAAATCCCTCTCCCTCCAAAAAGCTGGGTGACTCACTTCTACCCAGCATTAGCTGTCTGATCAACTCCATCCTGAATCACACAAACGCACAGCGTTATCTTTTAGAAGTGACCAGATCCTGTCACAGCCATCTTTTACACTGCAGCTTTCTTTAACTGCCACCCCTCAGAGCAACTCTGATCATCACAGACCTCTGAACTACATCAACTGCCATTAGAAAGAAAACAGATCTCACCAAAATAGCTTTCCCTTCGTAAGTGCCATTTCTGCTTCTCCACCCAGAGTGATCTGGGTAATGCGCACTAAGCCCTCCTGCTCCACTGAAGTTCAAACTTCAGTATCTTGCAGGTTCTGTAAACCTAAATGAGGAAAACACATCCCACAGGATGGAAATCTTCCTCTTTAATGCTCTGAAGCATCTGATTCAAGTACCATTAAATCGTAAGACAATGAACATTAAACTCAGGCTTTTAAAGACCTAAGCAAAATGTACTAATTAGGTTTTCTTTCACTTTGATGTGAAGGAGTTTAATCGCACATAAAGGTGAATGAATATGAACCATAAATGTGTTTTAAAAATAAAAACGTTGTAATATGGTTGATTTTCTTCTGCAGAACACTGGACATAAATGAAACACTCTTTATAGCACCTTGGTATGCAGCAGTAAAAACTGACTTGAACCCATGTGGGGTGAGTGTGCAACTTACCCACAGCTCAGCCTCTTTGAGACAAAGTAAGATTTTTGAGGTAATTTACATCACTTGGGGGGGGCGGGGGAGAAAAGAGAGAGAGACATTTTTTCTACCTAACTTCCTCATTGTATTTATCACCGCTGTTACATCATCTTAAACGCACTCAACACAAACAGGAAAGAAACCCACCCCGTGTTTGGAAGAGGTTGCACACTGTACAGCTTGCCGACACCGCAGCAAGGCACGCGCCAGACGTGTGGCATCACAACTGAACCGTGATGCCAACAGGCAAGAGGGCCCGATTCAGATTTCTGCTGTCCTGGCTTTCACTCACCGGAGCAGCTCGGGCTTCATCCCCTGCAGGAAGGAGGCAGGGGATGCACCCAGCCACAATGAGGGGTTGCGAATACTGCACCTTGACAGCAATACTGCCTTCCTTCACTGGAGGGGAAGTACCAGCAATGGGAGGTGAAGCAAAAGGCGAGCATGTCTTCCCAGGAGAGCTCCAGAGAGAAACCCTCCAGAAAAATGGGGAGTGGCACCTGCCTAATCTTGATCTCTTCAGCGTGGTGAAATTCAGCACCCAGCCACAATGAGGGGTTGCGAATACTGCACCTTGACAGCAATACTGCCTTCCTTCACTGGAGGGGAAGTACCAGCAATGGGAGGTGAAGCAAAAGGCGAGCATGTCTTCCCAGGAGAGCTCCAGAGAGAAACCCTCCAGAAAAATGGGGAGTGGCACCTGCCTAATCTTGATCTCTTCAGCGTGGTGAAATTCAAAGACCAAACAATGTTATGCTTTAGTTTTGGGGTGTTATGTAGCGTTATATAAACTTCAGACTACTCTCCTGCTTCAGCATTCCCGGCCAAGTTAGCTTCCAATACTCACTTAGCTTTGCCAGTTAAATCTAGAGCTGTTCCACACCAGTGTTAGTCAAGTCTTATCTTTAAAGGTTATACACCAAATTTAACTGGAGACGTGAAAGCGCCGATGTACCCACCAAGCTGCAGGCGTATGTTTACACCTCCCTGCACGAGACAGATTTGGGGGGGTGAGCCAGGATGCCTGTTTGCCATTTCATGCAATTACAGCAAGCCGCAATTGAAAGGAAAAAACGCATGAGGTACCTGGTAGGGTAAATCAGCCATCCTCAGGTAAGTTTCCATTTTCAGACAGAAGGGAGATAAACTTGGGACACCATTGCTAGGCCTTGAAAACTGATGCAGTATGATAGCATCCTTCGAATCGAGCTCTTCCTCTTTCCTGTCAAAAACAGAACAGAATTCAATAAAAAGGAGAGGAGAGGAGAGGAGAGGAGAGGAGAGGGGAGGGGAGGGGAGGGGAGGAGGTTCAGGCGCACGGTACATCAGTACACTAAAGAGCCGAAGG